GTCTGATAACCATCTCATAGCAACGATCAGATCCTGAACTCCATCAAAGGTGGGAGGCTTCGTATTATCGAAGTCCCGATACTAAAAACCTCTACTAGCTCCTCCCCATGCCGCTGTAGCCGCCGCGGCAGCCGTCTCCGTGAGAGCCGTATAGCGCTCATCAAAATACTCCACCATGGCGGTCTTGATCGACCCAAACAGTTCCGGCAGCTCGGCCCAGAACAATGCAGCAACCTCATCATGCAGGATCTCACGAATCCTCGCATCCAAATCACATGTGCTCATCTGGCCAACAACCTCGGGCGGTACGGACCCGACCGAAACTCCCTCTCTTGCTCCCGATCCTGACCCGGATCCACTCCCAGCATGCCTTGAAATCTCCATACTGAAAATAAACCACCAAAATCTCAGACACTTCCCACTAACCCGGGAACCAACTCTCAACCTAACCCTAGAGGTCATGGTTTCCCTGATACGCGTATGGGTCCTGTGCTTTCAGTAGTACGGGCCCATACTACCTTCCACACCTACCCATATTTGTATGAAGTACTACCACAACACCCTAGTGAAAACATATATAACAACGCTCTATCCTCACTACTAGAGGAACACTAGAAATCTCTCACAAGGAAACCCTAGGCTAACAGGCATCATAAATCAAGCAACACATCATGAAATCCTAAAGATCCCTAGCCTAACACTAGCATGTTGTTCTATCAAAGCTCAATAAAACAAATATCATGTATGGTATTTTGGGGTTACTTACTGGCTCCGACTGATCGTACCTCCGCGTCCTCCTTTACTTATTTTGAAAACCATTTTAAATTCTCTTATGAAAACCCTCCTCGATTTGAGACTGGAGTCACACAAGTGCTCCTCCAATTCACTCAAACCAAGGCTCTGATACCAACTTGTAACGACCAAAATTTCAACAAAATTTAAACTTTTCAAAAACATCCCAAATCACTAAGTTATTACAAAAAGGTTTTCAATACATTTATTATCAAAGTATTCCCAGGTCCATATCATAAAACATAAACACGAGGAGCGGTACAATCACGCCTTCGCCTTGCCACGGTCTCCTGAAGAACCTGAAAAACATTTAAACCACAACTGTAAGCCCGAAAGCTTAGTGAGATACCCCCCAAAATACCAACCACATATACCATACACATATCATAACAAATCATAGAACAACCATGCATATTCGGTCTACTGTGGGACTGGTCCGCCGTATCGTGCCTTCAGTCCACCTGGTCCACCCTCCGAGTCGAGTCATGTCCCTCAAGTCTGCAGTGTGGTTGGTCCGCCCGCGCGGTGCCTTCAACCCACCTGGTCCACTATCTGAGTCTACAGTATGACTGGTCCGCCCGCATCGGGCCTTAATTCGGCCTGGTCCACTCTCCGAGCCTCGGCACGTTTGGTCCACCCTCGTGGGGCCTACAGCCTATTCGGACCGCTCGCTGGGCCTTCGGAACAACCGATCCGCCCTGGGTATCTTGGCCTACATCACAAAGCAGGACCCACCTCAACCCAACTCCAGTCCAAGCAACCATGTGTACATAAACATTCAATCACATGACAAATTCTCATTTAATCAAACCGATCTAACAGATCACATAACACAACATACTCTGGGCAGGATACCGACCTAACCGGTCACTAGCATAGCACCATCCTATATACCAGGATACCGACCTTAACCAGGTCTCTAACGAATACCATCCTAACTACCAGGATGCAAACATATCAAAGCAATAACATAACAACAGATACTCGGATCTCAATCTGATAAAGGGCCGACCTTGGTGCCTTAGACCCTGTTGATATAGTGAGGATAACTCACCTCGCAACTACTGACTGAAAGGATAAGACCACGCTGCTGAAATCTCCGACCCGAACTCCACCACTGGCTAACACCAATACTGAACTCAAAACAAAAGCCAACAATTACCAAAATGCCTCTGGAAGTCAACTGGTCAACCCTTGGTCAAAGTCAAAGTCTACCCCTGACCGACTCTACTCGCCGAGTCTACCCGATGACTCGCCGAGTCCCCATACACAGAACCTCCTCCAATTCGCGACTTCGCCGAGTCCCCATACACAGAACCTCCTCCAATTCGCGACCTAACTCGCCGAGTCATCCCTTGACTCACCGAGTCACAGCCTTCCCAAAAGAAACTTGGACCCTACAACCAGACTCGCCGAGTCCAAGAACAGACTCGCCGAGTCTACGACTATCTTCAACCTACTCGCCGAGTTGTTCTTCCAACTCGCCGAGTTCCAGGCCATCTTCATCCAACTCACCGAGTACACCCATGTGACTCGCCGAGTACCACCGGGTCTGAATCCATACAGAGGCTTTCCAAGCCATGCAGATAATCCAAACCATAGATCTACCCCTCCTAAGGCCATCCATCACGTAAAGTGGCAATCTTTACGTGAATCCAAGAAGATCTAGGCATTTTCACTCTAGGGTTTGGGTTTGGGACAAGATAGCTCCATCAATCTCTCAACAACAGGGACCTTTATGCATTCAAACCCCTTCTCCATTCCAGATCTGAGGTAGCAACCTCAGATCTAACCTCTAAACTCCAATACATCAAAAAATATGATCTCTAACACCTCCAACAATGATGAATCTAAATAATAGCAGCTCACATGATGAAATAATACCTCAAAAGGAAGCTCCAAGAGAAGATTAATCCGAATCCTTGCAAAGCCCTTTGATTCAAGTCCCTTCTCCTTTAAGATTTCTTCAACAATCACTTCCCCAAGCTCCAAATGCACTCCAATCCTCCACAATCACGTATTTAGGGTTTCTGGACTTCAAGGAAGATCAAGGAGGCTAGGGAGAGGGTATAATGTCCTTTAAATAGGGCTCAACCTCCGGATTTAGGGTTTTCTCCACTCAGCGCCTACTCGCCGAGTCCAGCTTTGGACTCGCCGAGTTGGCCACTTAACACGCGACCTGAGTCGCGACTCTACTCGCCGAGTTGCCCTTCAAATTTACACTTTTAGCCCTTCAACTCTACTCTTGATATTCCGGGATGTTACAGATTATAACTGCATAATCTCAATCGTTTGAATGACTTCTACCCGAGCGTTACTCATGAATAAAATTAAATAATATATGATTTAATGTTATTTATAGTTGTTGTTATTGTTAATTAATTTTTTTAAATTTAGTTGCTTAACGTTTTAATTTCTATCATTATAATTATTTAAAACATCAAACATTGTTTTTGATTTTAAAGGTAACAATATAATTATTTATATATAGTTATTTTTAACTATTGTTATTATAATTTACTTTAAGCTACTTATTTGAAAACTTTTAAGGATTATAAAAATATATTTAGGAAATATTTTAGTTAAATTGAGATTACAATTTAGTTTTTGCATTTAGCACTATAATTTATCACTTTTAACTATTCACAAAAATATTATTTAGGATTTTTAAGTGGAATGAAACTTATATTTAAGTTGACACTGTAATTTATATTTAAATTAAGAGTTAAAGCATTTTATCCAAATTATTCAAAAATTATTACTTTAAACTGATAATAGTTTATATACAACAACATATTAAATATAATAAATTAAGTATAATATGTTAAAACTTAAAGACATAATTTTTAATATTGAAATTTAGTTTATTTATGATTACACTTTAGGTTTGATATTTATTTAATTTTATTAACCAACTTATAATCATTATTAGAAAAACTCTATCACTTTTAACTATTTACAAAATATTTTTTGGGTTGTTTAAGTTCAATTAAAATTTATATTTAACTTGACCCTATAATGATATATTTAAGTATTTTATACAAATTGTTCAAAAGTTGTAGCTTTAAAATGATAATGGATTACATCCAACAATATATTAAAACTAATAAATTAAGTATAATATATTAAAAGTTAAAAAACATAACTTTATAAGTAGAAATAAATATATTCTTTTAATATTGAAATTTAGTTTATATATGATTATACTTTAGGTTTAATATTTATTTAACTTTATTAACCAAATTATATTTATTATTATAAAAAAATTGAAAAGTCATAAGAGTTTTAAATGAATGTTATGAAAAGAAAAATGAATGAGAGTTTAAAATGAATATTGTGAAATATCTCTTATTTATTTAACGTGTACAAACCATCTAGACAAAATCAATAAAAATTCTTCAGAAATCAAATAAATTGATCACTTGATCGTGTGAAATATATAAATTGATTAAGTGTGTGTTTCATCAGTAATAACACTTACCTTTTTTCCAATCCTTCATGCGAAAGTTGAGATTACCCAATTTACCCATTATCGATCATATAAAAGAATCCATCTTAATGCACCCAAATTATCTATTTAATTTAAATTGATAATCGATTTCAATGTTATGAACCGATTTCAATAGTATAAGAGGACTAGTTCAAAATGTCTACAAAAGCAGCTGAACCGGATACCAACTAAAAGGTGCGTCTTTCCTCATTTTTGTCTATAGATTTCAAACATTTCATATGCTTTAACTTCACTTGCACGAGACTGATCTTTTTTTCCGATAAATCTCCCATGCACATCAAGCGTTTGATGAAATGTCTGACTGAAATATTTTTCATGAATGGAATGCCACATTGTTGTATGGTATGCTGGTATTGTGGTATGATCAACTCATATAGTATCCTCGATTTTACTTTGATCCTAATACTATTGTATGTAGTATTGTATATTATGTAAGCACATATTATACTTAATTGAGTCTATATGTGACACTAATGAACACATGCTTTGAAGTATAATAAGAAAGTGAAATTATATAAGGAAAAATCCCCCCAATGAGATAATTCACGAGAAACTGTTTGACTGACATCAGCTATGTTGTAGCCAACATGTTATCCGAAAACAATGCACTAATAGTCGATAATAAGTTGCATTTTTTAAGCACAAATTAACACATAATAATGGCTACAAACATGACCATTCAGTTTTATGATTAAGGATGTGATAGTTCGTTCATGCGGTGGTATGACATATATCATACTACTCCTAACACAAGTATAGAATCTTTGTAAGACAAATATTTTTAATGTTCACTAATAACTATATATGCTTTCTTATATCTGCTCGCATCATTGCCTCATATATCTTCTTATATCGGTCGAAACTCGAGGCTGCTTATAACGAGGCCGGACATAGTTCCTTCATAACTTATGAGCTTCAAATTGATAGAAACACAATCATCTCGAAGCTTATTACTTGAGTTAAATTGCCACACATTGACCTCCATCCATCCATCTTCCCTCTCTTCTGGAACCCAATCAGTATGATTGACATTACATGGGCTTGGGGATCTAAAATAAATAATTCTTGTGTTTTTCTTTTTTCGGTTAGAAGATTCTCGTACTATAACCGGGCAACGCAAGCCATGACACCGTTCTGAAAGCTTGAACACAAGGTAACATGTATATTCTGTATCTGGTGACAACCTTTGACTTTCAATCTTGCACTTGATACGAAATACTTGTTGTCTTGTAAGCTCAAGCACCTCTTCTTGGGATCTGAATGTATGGTAGCATGATTAGATACTTTTTGGAGAAGGATCAACCAATACACAAGAATATGATTACAAATATATAAAAACTATTTATATATAAATGAGTAAGCTCCAACTATTTAAGTCAGAATTGTTGAGAACGAATTAACCAGAATTAGTCAAAAAATGAAATAAACACACCTGGACTGGGTTGAGTTTATGGAATTAAAAAGCTTCACATTAGAAGATTCGTAAAGAGCCTCCTTTGCCAAAAGCATATAATGCTTCTTTTTGTTCTCTTCCTTTAGCATGCTTAACTGTCATAAAGTCAATATTATTTATTACCAAAATCTCAAGATTTAATTATTTTTATTTATATATATTTTTTTAAAATTCTACTACACATAAAAGATGATAGAAGTCCAAAGGACCTTTTCAACTTCTTCTGAAGTAGGAGGCAACTGTTGCACCTGGTCCACGTTCAACTCTGATTTACAGCCTTGTTGGCTTTCCTTTAATACCTTGATTTCTTCATGTTTCACCTGTATAAAATGTGTAAAGCAATGTTATATATATATATATATATATATATATATATATATATATATATATATATAACATGATCAAAATATGGTCAAATACAATACTCAAACTTGCATTATTAATGGCTTGAAACTGAATGCCTTCAACATAAACATCACGACTTCCACAATAGCATCGTGAAAAGCTCTCTAGTAGAAACTCAAATTTAGTATCTTCTTTGCAATTTGAGAATCGACACAATTCGATTTTCATCCACCCGTCTTCTCTCCATGTTGCGAAATGTGTATGTAAGGTTTCACTTCCCTTTTTATATTTGAGGTTCACATACATCCGTTTAGCTAAAGATCTTCTTGGACCACAAAATCTAAATACCAGATGAACACCATAATTGACACCCGGAGATAAAAATTGAGCTTTTGACTTTATCTGGAGCCTTAGATCTGAAATATTTGATATCTCTGCTACTTCATGAAACCTGCATATACATATTATAAGGTATCTAAATTAGTCATAGCCTCTAATCTCTATGCCCACACAATAGACACTTTTATTTTTGGATTGATGTCTTTTTCCCCAAATAAATGGATACCTTTCATTCTTTTGAACAAGAGTTAAAATTCACATTTATTAATTAACATTGTATCAATAAACAGCAGATTGGTAATTTTTATAGTAAATCTGTAAACCACCGACTTTGAATTATATGCTTTGTTACCTAAATGTTGAAAAAGATTATCTGTAACATTGTGCCAAAACGTACACTTGGAAAATGTATTTGTTACACTACATACTTCTTTCTCTTTAATGAATTGTAGATATTCTATACTTCTGTATAATACTTCTTTCTATTTAATAGTACAACGTAAATGTAAATTAGTTTCTGTTTCATAACTTGTTATGTAAAAAATCAGGAAACTTTTTAGAAAAAAAAATGAGACCCGCATTATTCTGGAAGTTAAAAAATGCAATGTAATAAACACTCCTCATAATCAAAATGTAAAGGCAATTGAATGTAACATTAACAAAACAGAGCAATATATAAATCTAACAATGGTAAATGTTTGAACGTGCATAAAACACATACACACACACCTTGATTTTGGAACAATTCCAGATGGCCACTTATGTGACCGACGGTGCTTGTATAGGAGCTTTCTGGCTGATATCATTTCATTTCGATCTCCATTATCGTCTAATGAAAACAACTGTTATGCAAAACAAAACAAAATAAATCAAACCCAAGTTATGTTATGTTTGAACACATGTATATATGATTTGCTATAATCTCTCTACCAATAGTTGTTTTATATCTATTCTGTATATAAGAGATCCATTCAGGCAAAAAGGATCCACATAAATCATAAATCAATGAAAACTAATCTTTAGCTTGAAGTAGATCATGCATGAGCAAGAATAGTAATTAGGTTCGAAAGTTGGAGGTTTTTGGTTAATTCAAAATATTTTAAATTTTGAAAATCAGGTGATGAAGTTACTTAAACCAACAGTATACTGACTCTTATATATTCTAAGACCATCCGTTATACCCACCACTAACCACTTTAGTGGTGGGTGTCACATCATCACCACACACAACCACTAAAAGGTTGGTATACCCACCACTATAATCGTCTTATCAATTGATTTTTAAATAAGAATATATATATATATATATATATATATATATATATATATATATATATATATATATATATATATATATATATATATATTTGCAAGAAATGTATTGGATGTTGGCTTCTGTTGTGTGTGCACCACAATCCACCACTACCACTAAGTAATGGGATGGTGTGCACTATAGTGGTTAGTGGCCACTTAGACCACGAAAGGGCTCGTCCTTGGTATACCAGATGGCCCAAGCAAATGCAAGGAATGTACGGAGCACCAAATGGATTCGACATATCATATAAAGAAGAAGCGAATTACCACTTTGCCCTTTTGAAGGAGGATTCCTTCGGAAAGCATGTCGTGAAGGTCCTTTTTCTTTTTACTCAAGTAGTTCTCAGATTCTTTTGACATCTTGAATATTTCTTCATAGTCATGAGGCAATTTAGGTCTCCATATTTCATAATCATCCTGTATATCAGTTAAACATTAAAAGAAAATAATATTTTTCTTTTTCTTATTCATGAAAAACTATAGTTTAAGATGTTTAGATCAGTACTAACTTTTCATTTAGTTATGTTTTGATACACTTGAAGTAAATTCTGAAATAATGACATTTTCCTAATTAGAATATGAAAAGTTACCTGTAATTTCAATGCTTCCTCAAGTCGTAGGAGCACATCACCTGTAGTAGGTCGGTTTTGTCGTAGATCATCCACACATTCATTGGCCAGTTTTTGGAATGCAGTCAATGATTCTGGCGCAATTTGTTCCTTTATATACTTAAACACCATATCATCAAGTTTTCCTTTTCTATAATATTGTTTAAACGCATCTATTAGAATTTCAACATTGCCATTGATGTCTTCGAACATCAATCTCCCACACAAGATCTCAAATAAAAGCACTCCGAATGAGTATATATCAGATGCTTTCTTAAAGACACCATCTGCAAGGTATTGTGGGTCACAATAGCCTTTTGTGCCACAAGCATTGTCGATCACATCCTCATTTAGTGAAGTTATTGAGGAAAGCCCAAAATCAGAAATTTTTGCTTTCCAATCCTCACCTAATAGAATGTTTGGACTCTTGATATCCCTATGCATCACCACCTCTTGTGTTGCACCACCCCCATGAAGGAAATCCAAACCACGTGCAATATCAATGCATATCTCCAGCCGTTTCCTCCATGTAAGATCCTTGTTGCCCAAATGCCAGTCGAGACTTCCTTTTGACGCATACTCATAAACAATGATTTTTTCACCAGGTTGGTTGCAATAACCTACAAGACCAATCACATTTCTATGTTTGTACTCTAAAAGAATTTCAAGTTCTGTTAAAAATTCAGTTTTTCCTTGACCACCAGCTGTATCCAATCGCTTTGCAGCTATATTGGTGTGACGTCCATCAATGCTTGTAACTTCTCCTCTGTAAACCCTCCCGAATCCTCCTCTTCCAATGCGATTGTTATTACTGAAGTCATTTGTGGACAATTTAATGTCTTCAAGTGAAATTTGGAGATTATCCTTTTGGTTTTTCTGTGAATCATGAGACACCCCAATCAATATGAAAAACTCAAAGATAAACTGAAAGTAATTCTTATCTAAAACTGATTTGATTAGCTATCTTGATATTTAGGTACTCAATTTTGTGTCTATCGACGTATTCAATGACCATTGAAATGCCCAAATTAATTTTTTTTCTAACAATGCATGAAGGATCAAGTATATATGAAGAGAAAATTGACTTACTTGAAGTTGTAATGCATTCTTGAGTTTCTCGACAACAATTCCAATTTTTGGACGCTTTTTATGAGTTTCTGCCAAACATTGATATGCGATATCTAGAAATGTCTCCAGAGAATCTTGATTGGGCCCTTTACTTAAAGTAAAAATATTTTCATCAAATTCTTCCATTATTTTAGAATCTAGCATATCCTTTTGTGTTCCTTTCTGAAAGTGTTGTCGGACAAAGGGTGCGAGCCCCTTGTCATTTTTATTCATGTAAGCTTGAGCATATGCCAAACTCCCAGACAAGATCTCAAAGAAAACTACCCCCAATGAATAGATATCTGATGCTTTTTTCAGCTTACGCGTCTTCTCATATTCTGGATCCAAATACACATTTGTACCTGCAACTTTTGTCTCAAGATAACTGGCTTGTTGAGAGATGGGACCAATTTTGGAGAGCCCAAAGTCAGCAATCTTTGCCACCAGATTATCATCCAACAGAATGTTGTCACTCTTTATGTCCCGGTGTATTATGCTATGTTCGGTATGAAGGTAATCTAGTCCCTGTGCAATATCAAGACACATTTGTAGACGTTGCTCCCATTTAAGACTATTCATTTTATCATAACTTCGTAAATGGTCATCAAGGCTTCCATTAGAAATATACTCATAGACAAGGATCAAGTCAGACCCTTCTTCATCACAAAAGCCAAGAAGAGAGACTATATTTGGATGCTTACAACTCGTAAGTGTTTCAATCTCTGCAGAGAACCCTTCTTCTGCTTGTGTGTCGTTTCTTTGGAAGAGGCATTTTATAGCTACGGTGCTTCGTATCTTAGGCAGATCACATGCATTCTTCGCTTCTATCTGCAGGAAATTTTTGCTATCAAAGTGCTCAAGTTCTGCTTTGTACACCTTACCGTATCCACCTTTCCCAATGCACTGTGTCTGAGAAAAATTGTGGGTGGCCACCTGTATATCATGAGAACTTATCTTCAAGTGTTCCAATTTTTTCCACTACAAGACAATATTGTGTGTTAATAATGGACATGAAAGTGGTGTTGCAATATAGACACTACATACTTATAACATAAGCTGGAAATATTTTGGATTAGTGGCAATATGGAGATACTAGATAATGTCACTAACAGATTCATCAAAGGTTAATCATTAAGAAAATATCTTATATGTATCGTTTATCAAGTTCTCACAAAGGAGCTCTAAAAAAATCAAGAACAGATGCATAAGATCAAAAGTTTCGGCTCGGTCTTTCCGGACATGTTTTAGGCATTATAAGCAACAAGCAACTATGAGTTGATCAAACATCTTAATAGAAATTATATTGGTCAATCCTATGTATTAAATACAAACATACGTGTCATTATTGTTTCTTGATGATATTTGAGGCATAACCCCTAAGTTTTTTTTTAAGAAAAAAAAATACCAAACAATCCAGTTTATTCGGTTCTTTCGGTTTCTGGTTCATTTTGGTCCGTACTTTTTATTCGGTTATTAACTTATTAACCGAACCATACTGATTATTACCCGAACCGAACCGGACCCGTATTGGTTTAAATGGTTCCATTTTCAGTTCCTACTATTAGTCTTATTCAGTTTTTGGTTTATTCGGGGACCGGTTTCGAACCGAATAACATCCCTACTACCAACTAGCTAGTATGTATGAAAGTGAAATTGAGCATTATGCAATTATATTTGTATGTGGAACAGAGAGCATCATACATAGTGTCGCCGGGTGAGGTTATTTTTCTTTTAATCTTGATTTATTTTCAAAAAGTTCCAACTTTTAGTTTAGTTAAATATTTGATTCTCTTGATTTTAATGACTCTAAACAAAATATATCCATACAAAATTTTCCTATAGACTCCATTTCTAGGCCACCAACACTAGTGATATCCACTCTGTTCAAATTTTGTCAAGTCATTTTTGCAATTAATCATTGCATCAATACAATTTCAATAATTTTTCAAAAAATGCTTCCTACTAATATATCCAGAGCTAAAAAAAATCCAGCTAGACCGGACATCATTTGCTTGCAAATTTCATATTTGAAGTGAACTATTTGGAATTTCCTTGCGTTGAGGTTAATTTATTAATCATATATTTTAAACGTCATTTATGTAATGATCTCTAGCACATAGACCATTTTTGTATATTTTGTATTACACCTAGTATATTTCTGTAATTCTCTTACATAGAGAATATTTATGTAATGTTGGTTATTACATATAGATGATTTTGTAATATCGTTAATTCATAGGGACCATTTTGTACTATAAAGACCAAAATTGTAATAATACAAATTACAAACTAGGACCAAAAATGTAATTATTCAGCTACAAACTATAGGACCAAAAATACAATTGATAAAAATTGTAAATATATTAAACTAAACAAAAAACAAAAAAAGAAATAAATTGCAAATTTATAAACTATATAGACGAAAACTCCAATTATTGAAATTAAAAGTTATGCTATAAACCAAAAATATAATTAATACAATTTAAAACTATAAATATTTTATATTAAAATGGACCAAAATTATAATTAATACAAATTAAAAAAATATAGGAACGAAAATTGTAATTAACTTCATACATTTAAAAAGTATATATAATAAAAAAAAAAAAAAAAAAAAAAAAAAAAAAACCTTATGTACCTTTGAAACGTTCAAGTAAAAATAAGATAGTTTAATACAAGAGAAAATGTTTTGTAGTGATAATGAAATCAGGGACGGACACAGGAATACATGCTAGGTGTTGTTGAGGTTGAAGTAAGTGTTGGCGATGTATAAAAATAGATTAAAATCGAATTTTTTTTTCACTGCGTAGAGAAAAAGTAGGTGTTGTCGGTGCCACACCGGAATACCTACTAAAACCACCCCTAAATGCAATGCTTTTTCGGGTAAAAAAAATCACCAGTTCCTCACATCATAAGTAGTAGTTTAATACAAGAGAAAATGCTTTGTAATGATAATGCAATTAGGGGTGGATACAGGAATACATACTAGGTATTGTCGAGGTTGAAGTAGGTGTTGTCGATGCATTAAAAATAGATAGAAAAAATCGAATTTTTTTCCATTGCATAGAGAAAAAGTAGGTGTTGCTGGTACCACATCGGGACACCTGCTAAAACTGCCCCTAAATACAATGCTTTTTCGACTTAATTACCGTGCCCAAGCGTAACATATTTAAATCAAATTTTTCTGAATATTTTTATTTGAATGGATTTTTTCGTTGTTGTGCAAAGGGATGAAAAACAAATCTATGGTTTCCTCTCTTGATTTATTCATCAATTTTTGGAAATTTTTTAAAAACAAATTTAGGTTCTTACTTCTAAATTTTTTATTTGTGTAAGACACTGACCCTCAGGTATTAATTTTGCAGTTTTATTTTCATATTGAAACATCTACTCGAAGAGTTGGATGCCCTGACTCATCGAGTAGGAACATTTTTATCCCCGTGTTTAAGTTACCAACTCGCCGAGTCGGAGGCATGACTTGACGAGTTACAGCTGGAAGATGAAACCTTAATTTTCAGGGTTTTGCACACTATATAAAGGGTCATTAGCCCCCTTAGCCTCCCTTACAGCCCCCCTTTGAGTCCAGAAACCCTAAAACGCGTTTTTCTCTCCATATTTGTGTGTTTTTAAGCTTGGAAGGTGGATTTTGCTGAAAGGAGCTTGAAGATCAAGAAGCTTGAGGCAAGGAACGGTTGTGGATCTGAGTTCTACTCAAGTTTAGCATCACTTGAAGGTAACAAGTCGTTACCTTGACTTTCCTCCTTCTAGATCTCATCATGGTTAAGATTAGGGCTTTTCTAGCATGTACGATAGCCATTTTCGGGTATGTGCTAGGGTTTGAAGTTGCCACTTCAGATCTAAACTTATCTTGGTCTCTATAACTATAAAGTTTCCAGCTTTAGCAAGTATGAGCTATTCCTTTTGAGTTAAACCCTATTTTAAGCTTGGATTTAGTATTCTAAGCCTTTAGAGCCTTGTTTGCATGTAAAGTTTGCAGCTTTACGTGATAAGCATGCCTTAGGAAGCTAGATCTACCATTTGGAGCCTTGGAATGGCTCGAATTCATCTGGACAATAAATGGACTGTGTGAACTCGACGAGTTGGGAAGGGTTTTCCCGTGGTTTGGTTTCTGCATGGACTCGGCGAGTCAGCAAAGGACTCGACGAGTTGGTTAGGGTTTCCCCGACTTCTTGACATGTATAGACTCGACGAGTTGGTCGGAAACTCGGCGAGTCGGTGAGGGTTTTATGACCTTCGGAACTCTTAAGGAACTCGACGAGTTTTGTCAACATGGAATGCTGACTTTGACCATTGACTTTGACTTGGACCAAGGACTGACTAGTTGACTTCTAGGTATTTTTGTAGATTAGAAATTTATGGAAATGGTCTTATGGTAAATATAAGTGGTGGAGTTTATGGTCGTGGTTCGAGAGTTTGAGATTATCACTTCGATTTGACGGTTGAGAAGCGAGTTATCCTCACTATACTAAGGGGTCTAAGGCACCAAGGCCGGCGCATTGGATTTGATATCCCAGTAGTTGATGATGTGTTGAGTATGAGATAGTTGTACATGCTAGTTTTCTATGCCAGTTAGGTAGATCTGTAGGACTACCTGTGTTACCGTTTGATTATTTGTATGTGCAATTAGTTGTATATGTAGACATGTTGTGTGGGTAGGGTTGAGGTTGCACTGTCTCATGTAGTGACCAACAAACCCTAGAGTATGCCAGATATGAGCTAAGGGTCGGGAAGGCATGCCAGACTCATAATGAGGGCTCATTAGCATACCAAATACGAGCTGAGGACCAAGTGGTATGCCAGACTCATACTGAGGGCAAGTCAGTTATGTTTAGTTTTAGGACTGAAGAGGGGGCAAGCCAATCATAAGTTGTGGGCTCAAAAGCAAACCAGACTTATGATGTGGGCTCGGAGACAAGCCAGATGTAAGTTGTGGGACCGGAAGGCAAGCAAGACTCATAGTGTGGGCCCAGGGTAATCCAATCTGTAGAGTTGTGGATGTAACATCCCGGAAATTCATAAGTAAAGTTAAAGGGCTAATAGTGTAAGTAAGAGGGTCAACTCGGCGAGTCGATGGATGGACTCGGCGAGTTGAGTCGTGTGTCAGGTCGCGTGTTAAATGACCAACTCGGCGAGTCTCATTGGTGGACTCGGCGAGTTGGTGCTGTATGAAGAAAACCCTAATCCCGGGGGTTGAGCCCTATATAAAGAACATAATACCCTCTCCCCAACCTCATTACTCTCCCTTGAAGTCTAGAAACCCTAGCTTTCGGTTGTGAGAGAGTTGGAGAGCATATAGAGCCTTGGAGGAGGAAATCTTGGAGGGGAAGTGAAGAACAAGAAGGTTAAAGCAAGGGACTTTGCAGAGATTTAGCTTATCCTTCAGTTGGAGTTTTCATTTGAGGTAATAATCTGTTGTTTGAGCTTTTGTGCATCTAGATCTATCAATTGTGGGGTTTTTGTGGTATGAATGAGGTCCATCTCAAGTTTGGTGTAAGATCTGAGGTTGCTACCTCAGATCTAGGTTGTTAATGATCCAGAAAGCCATAAAGTCTATGCTCAAGAGTCGTTGGTGAAGTTCTTTTGTCCCAAACCCTAGCCCTAGAGTATATTATGCTTAGATCTCTTTGGATTCACGTAAAGTTTGCAACTTTACGTGAGGAATAGCTTGTGGAATAGTAGATCTATGGATTGGAACCCCTGCATGGCTTGGAAAGCCTCTGTATGGGTTAAGAGCTAATGGTACTCGGCGAGTCACATGGGTGTACTCGGCGAGTTGCTTGAATTTGGGAAGAAACTCGGCGAGTTGGAAGAACAACTCGGCGAGTTGGTTGAAGATAGCCTTGGACTCGGCGAGTCTGGTCTTGAGATCCTAGCCTTTTCTGGTTAAGCTGAGAATCGGTAAGTCAAGGGATGACTCAGTGAGTTGAGATGGGATTTTTCAGAGTTGAGGGACACGGCGAGTCAGCGAGCTGACTTGGCGAGTAGGGTCAGTCAGGAAGTTTGACTTTGACTTTGACCAAGAGTTGACCCGTTGACTTCCAAGGGCATTTTGGTAATTATTGGTATTTATTGGGTTCAGTCTTTTGGCATTATCAGGGGTGGAGTTTTTGAACAAAAGGCTGTAGATTAGGGTTTTTTTAGAACAAGAAATTTAATCTACTTTTAAACTACTAATACTTTAACTTATGTCTCAAACAACACTTGAACATTGACCTCAAGAAAGGAGGACCACATCGAATACCATTAGGCTAGACGCCATTTAGTATGTTTTTCTCTCAGCTTGTCTCACACCACACTGTGATTATTAGAAAAACTCAATATCTACATAAAAGCCTATGTTATAGGTAGTTTTAGTAAAATTAACTTTAGTTGTAAGTTTTTGAAAATTATAAAATCAACTAAATTTAAAACTAAGGGTTCGGAATAATTTCGTTTTTGGATCGATATCAGCCAAATTATCTTCCTTATTAGATGATATTATTAGCATTTTTTATTTCTGGATTTCTAATAGATGTGAAAAAGCTAAGATCCCATGGACTATTTGGATGTTTGATCTAAATGTAGCTTGTATTACTTTGTAATATTTTCCTACCGTTCCAAAAAAAATAATGGACCGGATCAAAACAACATATACCCAAGAACATTGAAAATAACATAATTAAAGGGTTTGAAACCATCAATATTCGTTAGAAAAACTAAGAAACACTGATTCAAATATTAGTTGTACACATATATTTAACTTGTCTCAAAACATCATTTTGTTGTATAAGTTAACTACAAACAAATAAAAAATTAGAAATACAAAATGAAACAACAAACCGTAGATGAAACTAGAGGAAACTGTAGATTCATTCCTTTATCTACAGTTTGCTTAAAAAAACAACTTAGATGTAATCTTTTTATTTTTTATAAAGGTTGCCTTAAATATTTGGGCATGAGTTAACACCACAAAAGAGGAAACCTCATTTGAAGACTATGTGAGATGTTTAAATAACCGTTTGTTTTAAAAGAGAATCTTAAATATATATCTTTAATGATAGACTATTTTATAACTCGTGGAACCCCATTACAAAATTAATTAAATTTTTTTAGTAAAACTCAAAATTATTAATAAATTATTTTAAATAAATTGTTAATTGAAAGATATTTTTTAAGTTATAAAAATATCATCGTTCATTTAAATAAATATGTGATCTTATAATTTATATTAATTTTATTTTAATTTTTATTATAATATTATTAATCAATCATATTATACTATATTATAAAGAAAACAGTTTTTTTCACCACATTAATTTGAAACTCCCATGCATTTTTCCTTTTATCACATTCATTTGAAACTGCCATGACTTTTCAATTTTTTCTAATAATAATTATAAGTTGGTTAATAAGGTTAAATAAATATCAAACCTAAAGTGTAATAATATATAAACTAAATTTCAATATTAAAATAATATTTTTACTTATATTTATAAAGTTATGTTTTTTTTAACTTTTAACATATTATACTTAATTTATTAGTTTTAATATAGTATTGGATGTAAATCATTATTATTTTAAAGATAAAATTTTGGAACTCCTAATTCTCCATATTTCCACATAATATATTTAATTAATTAAATTAAATATGTTGTTAATTATAAACATTATCATAAGTTGAAGACTTCTTGAATTATCAATATGATATACAAAATTTGTTGACTTCAACATAGTGCTAAATGCACAACCTAAATTAATATATCAAACAAACTTAAAAATAAAATGTAAAGTTTAAAAACTAAAGTAATAAAAATCCAACATATGTTTTTTAAAATAGTTGAAAGGAAATCACTAAATATGATAAACATAATAACTAAAATTCAATTAAGTTGTCTTTAAATTAATTTATAATAATAATAATAGTAGAAAATAACATGAAATTCTAAAATAAATTATGTTACATTAGAAAGAGTAGTTGACAATTTAAATAATATTCATGATGAAATTAAAACATCATATATTAGTGTAGGATCGATAACCAAATAACCTCAAAATGAATTAATTAATTACCTCCAATCGATTGGTTGATGTCCCTTCAACTTCACCAGCCCCTTGAGAGTGTTGATGCGGTATACCCTGCAACCGATCCAATGGGAATTGGAAATAACTATATAGACAGATCAAAAAAAAAAAAAAAAAAACCGCCTAGAAGGAAAAGAAGAATAATGGGCTTACAGGATTTTCATGTTTCCATTGAAGATGCAGCGCTTCACGTAGTTTAATGACAATTTGATCTATATCTGGGCGTTCTGACCGTTGATCCTTCAAGCAGTCATACGCTATTTTTGAAAATACGTCAAGTGATAGTGGGTCCATGTTTTTCAGTAGATCAGGATCGATGAGGTCAGATAGTTTTTTCTGTTTATAAAGAGATATGGCCAATGGAGCTAATAAATGTTCTTCCGGAATACGCAGGTGCCCAAGCCTCTGTTCATAATGGAATCTGGCAGAGGGAGCTAACGTAAACATGCACATATCCAGGGGATTTAGTGCAGGACGTTGCTGCTTATTGACGCTTGATTCTTCTTCTCCGCCTATGGGGTTGGGGATTGATGATGCAGGTACCTGCTTAAAATTGTCGGATGATGATATTGAAAAGTTTCGCCCAGATCTTGTACCGGTTTGTTCAAAAAATTCGGAATATGTTGGCGCGCGCATATGTCCTGATAAATTCCAACTAATTGATGGTGCCATTCCTCCTGTAATGTCTGGTATATTCCGGAACGACTGTTGGCGCATTTGTGTCGATGACTTGTTTGGTTGGTTTCCAGCTGCTAAGCTTACGAATGACGTGGTGCGTGATGCTACTGAAAAGTTTCTGGATGATGACGCCGGCATTGTTACCGATAAATCCCTAGTTGAAGCCATATGGATTTGACTGTGAGACTGAGGCCGCTTTCCATTTCCTACAAATGAAGGGTAGTTAGGTGAAGCCATATGGTTTTGACTGGGAGGCCGGTTTTCAATGCCTACAAATGAAGGGTAGTTTGGTGTGGGCTGACATGATGAACTGAAGTTTTGTGGCTCTCTGGAATGGTGTTTAGGAGAGTGTTTCTCATGATCAACCACGACATCACCTGATTCTTCTTTCAAATCTTGTTTTTCCAATTGAGTTGAAAACCATTCAGGTTTATCGAATGCTCTCCTCCCACACAGGACTTCAAATAACACAACCCCCAACGAGTACACGTCAGACTTGTGAGTGACGCCTCCAGTCTTTTCATATCTTGGGTCTATATACCCTATCGTGCCACTCAAACGATCAAGGAGAAGCCGGTGTCTTCGAGCGGTTGTATTTTTCATTGAAAGTTCAAAACCGGATAACTTGGGCTTCCAGTTGCCATCTAGTAAGATTTTTGAGCTCTTAATATTACGATGTATCACGCTGAAATCGCGTTCCTTATCATAATGGATGTAACTCAATGCACGCGCAACACCAACACATATCTCCAATCTGCGCATCCATGTAAGGGACAGGTCGTTGAGATATTTGTCGAGACTTCCATGGGTCTCACGTTTGTTTATGATGATCTTCTCGCCCTTCTCATCACAATACCCAATCAGAGAGACCAGATTGTCATGCTTGAGAGCAGAAAGCAATGTAATCTCCATCAAAAACTCTTTCTTTCCTTGCCTGTACTCTGGATCTAACCTCCGTGCAACAATGTCGATCGGTTGACTGGAACCAAGGAGTTGTCCTTTGTAAGTCTTTCCGAATCCACCTCGTCTGATGAGATTTTCATCAGAAAAGTTGTTGGTGGCGGTTGCTATATCTTCAAATGGGATTTTTAAGTCGCTAATTTTTTTGGAAGATGACGAAGACATGGTGTTTGTGTGTTATCACGTAAAAAGGAGAGAGGGCAACAAATGAATTATGTGAAGGGGAAGACGACGTTCGACGTATGTATACAAATCCAGCGAGCCTAATCCATCCCTAGTGTTTGTATTTTAATCCCAATTAATAGTAGATCCACAAGTTGCAGCACTCTATTACAAAAATAAATAAATAAAAAATAAAAATTATTAACAGTCTATAAAACAAGATAAAAACTAAAACTATAAATGCAAGCAGGGTATTCAACTTCGACTTCTAGCTAGCAAAAATACAACTATCATTAACAAATGTTAAAAAACCATATTTAGTAGACTTTGTT